AAAGTGAGTGGGCCTAAAATAATCCACTTAAGATTGAGAGAATTTGCTCTCTGCCTGTCTTTAAGCTGGGAGGGACATCAGTCTTTTCTTGCCTTTGGACTCAGGACTCAGACCGAAACTTATTTCACCAATCTCCTAGGAAAATCTTCTAGTTAGATCTATCTTGTAACTTCTCAGCCTTCATAATCATGTATGCCAACTCCTTATAATAAATCTCAATATAGGTAAAGAGAGATACAGATATAAATATATAGATCTCCTATTTGTTCTGTTCTCAGAAGAACCGTAATACATCTACTTTCTCTTCTGTAACTTCTGAACTATCTGTGCTCCCAAATCTAGCCTCTTCGTGGATGTACTAGATTCCATACCGCTTATCTACTCAATGACATTTTTCATCTCTCCTATATCAATAATTTTCCCTCTGCTGGTTGACCAGAAAACTCCCATCAATATAAAAGCATACTCAATTTCTCCCAATTTAAAAAAAAAAGCTCAACTCTCAACTAACTCCCCCATTATTCTTCTCCCTTTCATAGAAAATCTACTGAAAAGAATCATCTACACTAGCATTTCTGTTTCCACTTCCAATTCTCTCTTAAACCTCCTGAAACTATTGCACTCCACCCAACGGGCCTACGTTATCGTTACTAGTGACCTTCTTATTGCCAAATCTTATAAGCAATTCTCAAATCTTATTTGGCTCAATACACCAGCATGAAGTGACACAATCATATCCACACCCTTTTACACTTCTGTGATAATCCCTGATGTCCTGTCTATAACAGCTCCTTCTTAGTACCCTTTCTGGACCGTCCTCATCCTCTCAATCTCTAAACCTCAAGCGCTCCAGAATTCAACTCTTCTACCTCGGAGATCACGTCTAGTCTGATCACTTTTAAATCAGCTGTATAATACACTGATAACTTCGAAATTTATGAATAGCCTAGATCAATGGTGGCAAACCCATGGCACGCATGCCATAGCCAGCTGTTTGTTACCATTGAAAGCTCTAAAAGATTCACCATCACTGGCCTAGACCATTTCTCTGAATTTCAAATTAGGATATCCAATTATTTACTAAATATTTGAATGTCTAATGGGCATATTATACTCAACAGGTAAAAAATTTCTCTAAACCACTCATAAATTTCCCATGTCAGAAAGTACACATCCATCTTTCTGATTGTTAGGGCTAGAAACCTTGGAGTCATCCTGATTCCTCTCCTTTCACATCCTGTATCCAATCTCAGCAAATACTATTCATTCTAGCTTTCAAATTAAGGCAAAATTCTACCTCTTCTTAACATACATCTCCACTCCTATAACCCCAGTTCAATCCATATTACCTTTTACCTGCTTTCCCCAATAATCTATTCTCAAAACAATGGACAAACTGATTCTGTTTAAAGATAACCCAATTTGGGTGGTGGGGGTGAAGGGAGGGCAGGGGAATGGGGAAAAAATAAGAACCAAGATACATCATGTAAAGGTACAAGATTCCAATGATGACTGTTAACTGTATTGTATACCTAAAATGTACCAATAAACTAAATGAAAAAAGATAACTCAATTTAAAGGATTATATACCATAACTAGGTGAGATTTATCCCAGGAATACAACAGTGAAAATCAATCAATATAATATATCACATTAACAGAATGAAAGAAAAACACCACATGATCATCTCAATTGACACAGAAAAGGCATGCAACAAAATCCACCACCCTTTCATGATAAAAAAAGAAAACTAGGAATAGAAGGAAGTTTCCTCAACATGATAAACTTATGAAAAACCCATAGCTAACATCATAATGCTGAAAGACTGAAAGTCTTCTTAAGATCAGGAGCATGACAAGGATACTCACTTTTACTACTGCTATTTGACATTGTATTGAAAGTTCTACCATCTTGAAGCCTACTATATATATAAAAATAAACTTTTATCAAAAATAAGTCCATTCCTAGGTATACCCAAAAGAACTGAAAAAGGAGGGGGAGTAAAAATTTATCAAAATGTGGTATGTATATGTATCAAAACTTCAAGCTGAATATAATTACTATGTATCGTAAATATGTACTAATAAAAAAAGAACTGAAAAGGGGACTCAAACAGACACTGCTGGGAGTGATAAAAGTTTTGGAGATGTGTAGCTCAGTGATAAAGCCCCAGCACCAAAAACAAAAACAAATTAAAAAACAAAACCAAATTGGAAATAAATAGTAGTGACAGTTGCACAAGATGGTGAGTGTAATGTCACAAACTGCACACCTAAAATGGTTAAGTTGGCAAATTTTCTTATATACATTTTAACACAATTTTTAAAAGATAATTTAGATGACAGCTTCTCTGACAACTCTCCAATAGCTTTTCATCTTCCTCGGAATGAAAACTCAAATCTCCAAACTAGTCTCCCTGCTCTTTCCAGTATGACCTTATAGTTCTTGCCCTACTGTCTCACCCTACTCTAGCTTACAGGCTGATGTCCTAAACTGGCCTTTGAATACAATCAACAGACTTTCAGGGCCTTTCACTTTCTTTTCCCTTGGATAACCGTAAGGTAATCTCTCACTTCCTTCAATTCCTAATAAAAAATTACCTTCTCAGTGAGGCCCTTCCTAACCACCTATTGTAAAATTACAGCTCCCATCCTCCTCACACTCTTCACCCCTCTTTATTATTCTCCATAGGATTTTCATCTCTGACATGTCACACGTTTGACTTTTTGCATGTCTCTTTCCACTAAAATGTGAAATCTTTACTGTAGCTTTAGAAGAAGTCTTAAAATTAGGTACTAAACGTCTTCCAACACTGTTTTTGTTTTTGTTTTTAACTTTTCTAGGTCCTTTGTACTCCTACATAACTTTTAAATTTCAATATCCAATTCTTCATTTATAGCAAGTATACACAGACCTGAATTTTTATGTATACCTTGTGTTTTCTAATCCTGCTAAATTCAAATACAAGTTCTAGGGGCTCCTAGAGATTTCTTAGGATTTTCTCTGTAGATGCTCATTTCATCTACATATAAAGATTTTGCTTCTGCCTTGCCAATTCTATCCTAGTTGTATCATTTTATTGCCAGACTATTTTGGTGGGGACTAAGTCTCAAAGTTTAATGGACAGATAAAGAGTACGCATATCTGCCCTTGTTCCCCACCTTAAGGAGAAAGCATTGTATCTTCTCCATTCATACAAGGCGTTCTCGCTGGAAGTATGGAGTACATGTCTTTAATCTGTTGAGAAGGCTCTGTTCTACTTCTAGTCTCCTGATAGCTTTTACCATGAACAGCTGTAGAATTCAGTCCAATACTTTTTCTCCAATTAGTGACAGGACCATATGGCTTTTTCCTTTCCTCTGGTTAAATGGTGACTTTTGGGGGTGGATCTTCCAGTGCTGAACCAACACTGCCATCCCTATAACAAAACCACTTTCTACATCCTGCCAGATCTGACTTCCAATAGTTTGTTTTGTTAAACAAATTTCTATCTATGTTCATACTTTTTTCTTCTATTATCTTTATCCAGTTTTAGGATTAGCACAATGTTGAGTTCCTAAAATGAGGGGAGAAGTGTTCCTTCTTTCTTCTGCTTTAATTGTTTGATATAATTTATCAGTTAAAATGTTTATGAGCCTGCTGTTGTCATATAGATAGGTTTTCAAGCTAGGAATATACTTTCTTTAATAGGTGCTATTCAAATTTTATATTTCCTCCAGAGTTAGTTTCATTAATTTGTCTTCCAAGTTACTTCTTAGAAGTTGTCAAATTTATTTCAAAAAAGATTTTTGTAATATGCTTTCTATATCCTTTTAAATTCTGTAAAATCTGTGGTAATGTCTCCTAGATCTTAATATTGTAATTTAAAAAATGTATAACTGATATTGTGTAACAGGAAGAAAAGGTCTAAAAGAGCAGGGGAATTGGGAGGGGTAGGGGAAGGGAAAAAAGGGAAAGGAAAAAATATGAGAAGAGGAAAAAAATGGAAACAAGGTCTTTGCAAATAGGGAAGGGTGGAGGGGGTGAAGGGAGGGCAAGGGAATGGGAAAAAAAAATAAGAACCAAGATACTCATGTAATGGTTCAAGATCCCAATGATGAATGTAACTGTATTTTATACCTAAAATGTACCAATAAAGTTAATGGGGAAAAAATAAAATAAAATGTGAAATCTAAAAGCACAGAGATCTTTCTGTTTCATTCAGTGTTGGTATTTTTAGTACCTAGGAGCAGCACTCATAAATACATGTTGAATTTATTAATACAGGGAGGACTGGGAAAGTAGTTCAGTGGTAGAGCACTTGCCTAACAGGCAGGAGGCCGGCCCTAAGTTAAATCCCCAACACCAGGAAAGGAGAAAGGTGAGGGGGGCCCTATTCACGAATATCCTAATCTGAACTTCACTCCCCATCCCAACTTCCACCCACTTTTGCATAATGTATAGTCTGTAAACATGCAAAGCCTAAATTACTCTGATTTTCAGACTCCTAAATTAGCATCCTAAAGACATTATTATCCTTCCCAGTTGGGAGTAGAATTTTTACATATCAAACCTGTCCAGAGAACAACTGACATACAACCAGAAAAATAGTCATCAAATACAGAATGATTTGACTCAAGAAATCAAACATAAATTACTAAATGATAGATATCTGATTATTTCCCCTGGCTTCGCTGTGTGCACAGTGAAGTGGCTGGATTTCTGCAATAACAAAGGCCTTATCTTAAAAACAGCTCCTAAGGGCACTTCGTAGACTACTAGTAAGCGGGTAAATACACTTTCCGACGAACAGAAGCTTCGAGAAGGCCTGCCCGCCGTCTGAAGGTATTCTTCCGCAGAGGAAAAGAGGAAGGAGATGGACCCTTTCCCCTGAGGAGTCTCCCAAACATAGCAAAGGGTCTGGCTCTGCGGATCTGAACACCTGCAAGTGTCAGAAGCTAAGAATGACACATCCCAAGAGACGGAGCTGCGGGAATAGGAGTGGGGGAGAACACGTTACCCTGGAAAGAGCCAGCTCGACGGGTCTTCTCCTTCAGCTGGAGGATTTGTGAGAGTCACAACCCCAAGGCCCGCAACCTTGGCATTCAGACTAGGCACCAAATCAACCAACTTTATTCCCGCGCTACAGAAGGTACGCGGGAGCGTCACGGGCGCACACCATATACATCAACTCTGGGAGCCAGCGTTTCCCCATCCCCCGGCACCGCCTCCGGCACCGCCCCCTGCCCCGCCCCCGGCCGGCGAGGTACGCGTGCGCAGACGCCGGCTGCCGCTGAGCACTTCGGGAAATGTAGTCTCCGCGCAGGTGCCGGTGAGCCGCCAGAGTCCTACATCCCAGCGGAATCAGGCTAGTCAGAGCACTCCCACCCCCTGGTCCTTATTCCTATCTTCACACCTGTCCAGTCACTTCTCACGCACCCTCCCATCCCTACGCGCTGGGCTTCCGTCAGGGCGCGCCCCAAGGGAGAGCTGGAGACGCCCCTCTTCCCTTCAGCCGGCTGCGCTGGGGAGGCGGGGTCCACCGCCGCCCCCCGCTGTCAGCCTCCCCGCTTCCCTCCCCCGGAGGGTGTCGGGCCCGTGCCCGAATCTAGACAGCGGCCGCAGTAGGGGCAGCGGCAGCGGCGGGCGCCGCAGGCGATGCCCCTGCCCCGCTGCTCTGGCGGGGGGCAGTGCGAGCGGCGGCGGCGGGGGGGCGGCGGCTGAAGCGGCTGCAGCAGAGGGGCCGAGAGCTGGCGGCGGCGGTGGTCGTGAAGGGCATCGGCGGCAGCGGTGATGGCAGAGATGATGTGAGTGCCTGCTGGCTGGAGACCCCCGGGGCTCCCGAGCCCGTGGTGGGCGGCCCGGCGGCATACGGGAGCGGGGCTGGGAGGCCGTGGTAGCGGAGGGATGCTGTGTGCGCGGTGCAGAGGCGGGAGCCGCTACCGCCGAGGTCCGGCAAAGGCCCGAGCCTTGCGAGCCCGGCAGGTGTGAGGGTCCCGGGCGGCCGAGGAGGGGGCAGCACAGGCCAAGGGGCGTCTGCGATTGTTCCCAACACCCCACACCCACCCCACCCCGTGTGTCTGTTTGTCACTTGCAGCTGAAGATGGAAGGAGCCAGGCGCAGGGGAGGCGGCGGCGGCCGTGGCCGCGGAGGCAAGAATGTAGGGGGCTCTGGCCTAAGCAAGACTAGACTCTATCCTCAGGCCCAGCACTCTCACTACCCGCACTACGCAGCTTCAGCCACCCCTAATCAGGCTGGGGGCGCAACTGAAATCCAAGAACTGGCCTCCAAACGAGTGGACATCCAGAAAAAGAGGTTTTACCTAGACGTGAAGCAGAGCTCTCGGGGACGGTTCCTAAAGATAGCTGAAGTCTGGATAGGGAGAGGCCGGCAGGACAATATCAGAAAGAGTAAACTGACCCTCTCCCTGTCTGTGGCAGCGGAGCTGAAGGACTGTCTAGGGGACTTCATCGAGCACTACGCCCACCTGGGCCTGAAAGGCCACCGGCAAGAGCATGGCCACAGCAAAGAACAAGGCTCCAGGAGAAGGCAGAAGCACTCGGCACCCTCCCCACCAGTCTCAGTGGGATCCGAAGAGCATCCTCACAGCGTCCTCAAAACGGACTATATCGAGAGGGACAATAGGAAATATTACCTAGACCTAAAGGAAAATCAACGGGGTCGCTTCCTAAGAATTAGACAAACCATGATGCGGGGGACTGGAATGATAGGTTATTTTGGCCACACTTTGGGCCAAGAACAGACTATTGTCCTCCCTGCACAAGGAATGATTGAGTTTCGTGATGCCTTGGTTCAGCTGATTGAAGACTATGGTGAAGGAGACATAGAAGAACGAAGAGGTGGAGATGATGACCCACTTGAACTCCCAGAGGGGACTTCTTTCAGAGTGGACAATAAAAGGTTCTACTTTGATGTGGGCTCTAATAAATATGGAATTTTCCTGAAGGTAAGTGAGGTGAGGCCGCCTTACCGTAATACTATTACTGTTCCATTCAAAGCTTGGACAAGGTTTGGGGAGAATTTTATCAAGTATGAAGAAGAGATGAGGAAAATTTGCAACAGCCATAAAGAAAAGAGAATGGATGGCAGAAGGGCCAGTGGTGAAGAACAAGAATGCCTCGACTAGAGTGAAATTGAACTCCATCAGGCAAAATTTAAAATCATAAATTGGCTAAAAGTACTGATCCATAATCATTTGAAGAAGTTTTTTCTTTTTTCTTTTTTGGCCCTTTGTTATTAGTAATACCTGTAGTAGTTTATACTTCAAGAAGTCTGATTCTCATGTTCTGTTATACTTAGATCACTATAATTCTTATGGGAATTCTAACTTTCCCAGTTTAGCTGTTTCAACTGCTCCAGACTATTGAAGTATGCAAATCAGCACAAAATATGACATTTTGACCTTCTAAATACTATAACTAAAATTTACATTGCACTATGACATAGTCCTGAAAAAAGATACACATATTTAATATGAGAGTATGAATTTTTATTTAACAAATGTCCAAAAAAGTATTTCATCCCTACTTCATGAAAAGCTGCTAAGCCTACCTGTAGGACAGTTACCACAGAAACAGAAATTGACCTCAGATATAATATAAATATTATAAAAGTACAAGCAGAAATATGTTGCCCATTGCATAAATAAATATGAAACAGTAAGGGTCAAAAGATAAAATCTCTTTAGATAATTAAATTTTAAAGATACATGATCATAATATTTCTTAATGTAGTATTCAAATTTTGTGGTAACCCTACAGTTTATAGTTGCCATATCAAAGCCATGAGAGTTTTAATTGGTTATTTTAAGCTAGTTACAATCCTGTCTTCAGTTCAATTTATTGTACCATGTATTTTTGTTGACTTTTCAAAGCGTTAGGAATTACTTTTGTGTCACTTTTGAGTGGGAGGCTTTATCCAGTGGCTTTGCTATGGAAATCTTGGTGTTTTAGCATTTCATGCTAATTTGAAGATTGTGATAGATTTTTTCCCTAAAATATAAAATGGACTTAAGGTGTTATATTTTATGTTTCTTCTTTAACACAATTTCAGAGGGGTTGGTGCACCAATTAACTGGTATAAAAATACATCTGTAATGTTATATTTTAGTAGCACTTTTGCAATTGGTACCCATAAAACGACATCAGACTTCCAATATAAACCTGACTTTTACAGGTATTTTAATTCTAGAATGAAAAAAAAAGCATTTTTCCTAAAAGCATTTCAAATACAAATTTTCAGTCTGGGAAAAACATTTGAAGATAGGATTGGTTGTAAGCATATTCAAAAGGAAAATTCAGGCATTTTCCAAGGTGCTCTTTATGATACTTAAAAAAGTTTCCTTTACACAAGACTTATCCATTTACCTGTATTTAAAAAATTACTTTCCAGAAAGTGCCACATCAATTTTTCAACACCTAAGCAATTTTTTAAGCAAGTGCATATAGTGTACATGTGTACCAACCCACACTGTATTAACTGACTGAAATTTCATTTGTTAAGCTATATTTTATTCTGAATGAAATGATTGTCTTTTATCTTGGCTTTATTCACCTCCATACATTAAGACCATATAATCATGTTTAAGATCCAGCACACTGGTTTCAACCCCCAAATATAGCTCATTGATGAGAGCTGGCTGCATGGATTGAGATCAGAATGTAGCTCTTCGATTTTTTAAATATTATTTAAATTTTTTCCTTCAGAAACTTGCCCCCAACTAGTGTCCCTAAGAAAACTTTGTTATGAAATAAGAAAATTAATTTCATTGATTTATGTTGTTTAAGAACAGGTGATCAGTAATCCCGATACATATACTGGTGTTGGTTTGCAGATTATATTTCATGTTTCCTCAAGTAGTATGAAGGAATCTCAGTTCATTATAATATAGACCATCTGGATCACTATGGAACAACTGAAGGTTAGAAGATAATATTAGTACTAGCGTTAATAGCACATGGTGGGTGTTGAGACTATAAAAGTAGCAAAGATTTTTTAACAGTCCTAACTGTAAAATAACAATGATGTAGGCTTGCTAAAAAGTAGTTTTTGGTATATGAAGGAGTGATGTGCACTTGAATTACTGTACTACTGATTGTTATTGCTGCCCATCATAGTGCCTATTAATAATCAACCTGTCAGACTTTGGCAAACTGGAGCTGTGAATATTCCAGTGTTCAATTGTTCCTATCACTATTGCTATACTCTCTCTTAAAACCTTCCTTTTTAAAATATTTATATCCATTAGGATTATATGATTTCTTTTTTGTTTTTAGTCTGATTAAGATTTGAGTGTGCATATATATATATATATATATATATACACACACACAATATTACATCAGACTTAAAGGTAACTATCTTCAATTCATTGTATATAATATTATTAGTTTAATTTTGCATTAAGTAAAGAATTAATTAAGCAGCCAAATTTTTACCTTGTACGTATACTTCAAAGTTTTTACCATCTCAAAGATACAGATTGGATAGATGCATATATACCAGAAAATGAATATACTCTAAAATTAAGGCTCCTACCAGTCCTTTTGTTTTACCTTTTCATAGTTAATGTATTCATTAAAAATAAGATGATACTATGATTTTTGATACTTAAAATTTCCTAGAATTCATTAGCCATAAGTAAGTATGATCCAGTTCAAAGCTCTGGTATTAGAACATGTATTGCCATGTATCTTATGAAATAAGCTACTATTCTTATCTGTGCAATATACATTTTATTTATCATCACTTGTAACATAAATGAAGCTGCAAGTGTACATGGTATTCTTCAAAATAACAGGATCTTTGCCTGGAAGAAATTAATCTCTTAAGGCAACTGGATGTTGGAGGTAAAAAATGAGCATTGAAGTTAGTAACCAAAATTACTAGTTCACTGTATAAGGCTAAAACTGATGATGTTTGCACATAATAATCCAAGCATAATGTGGTACAGTCTCAAACTGTAATAATATAAGCTAATAGTATGAAATTTGGAAACGGGTTCCTTGTAATAGTTGGCAGTATGCTCCTAGCAATTAAAAGCAGCACTAATCTGTTGCTTATATGCAAAAGATGCAATGTACTATAAAGGTATTAAAGTTCTGCCACATTTTATAATTTTCCTTTTTAAAGCCCCAAACTGCCATGTCCCTTAAACTTGAGTCAAACACAAGCTTATTTGCACTAAAGAGCATGGCCAAAAAAAAATAAATGACAGGGTGGAAAAGCTAGTTGGAACCTCTTGGAATAATTGGTTCTAATGGGAGAATTTCACATTTGTCTATTTGAAAGCTATATGGTCCAGGCAGACAATCTGTCAGTTCACTAATTTAATAATGCACTTTACCTTTTGTATATAGAAGATGTATATTTATGTCCCTTGACAGGTGGGATGTGTTTCAATAACTATGTAGTTAGAATCTGTAGGGTAATCTCTTGCATGCATATGTTTGTGTTGGCACTGTTGTTGGTAACAGCTTTCCATTAAATCAGTGTAGTGGAGAAGGGTAGAAGATGCATTTGAAACAAATCCCAATGCATTTAACAAAGAATTTTAGAGTTCATATTTTTATTCAAGGGATTAGAATAAATTTTTAAAACTTTCTAATCCAGATGAGTATTGCATTTGAGACTATATCTACTTGATGCTCTTCATAATACTCTGAAAGTTAGTTTTGGGAATTTGTCCAGATAAAATAATTTTTAATGAGTCTATTTCAATGTTGATATATGTTTAAGTAACTAACAAAAAGGATAGTACATGATGTACTAGAATTAAAAGTATGGTTGTTTCATATTTTTTAAATACCCAGATTAAAGAAATAAAATTTCAAGTTAAGGAAATGAAATGAGCCTACTAAGTTGCTAAATAAATAAATAAAATATTTCAAAATTTACATAAGTACCAACTAAAAAGGGCATTGGGGGATTTAATGTATCCTTCCATCCTAAAATATTCCTGAGATGTACATTTTAAAATTACATAATTGTGTTGAATAATAGGTTGTATGTACTTTACTGAGAAACACTGTGTACTAATTCATTGAGAGTGTGCTATATTTACTGCATTCATTTTATATCTATAGATAAGAATACATTATATATAGTCATACTATCTTAATACAATCATGTATTTATATTGTAATTTTGCAGATATTTTCAGTAAAATAAACATTTATCTAAGCTGCACAATTTGAAGAGGATGAAATTAGAATACACCCTTAGATATTCATTTTCATAAGCAGCTACCATTGAAAGCTGATGTATGTACTGTCATTTCTTTAAGTTTTGTTTTACAATTATTTTGATATTTAAATGAATAAGACTTAATTTGAATTTTTAAGTTTTCTGAAAATAATTTATTCATGTGTGAGATTTTTTTCCTGGTTATTTCCAAATGTCTTTAATTAAAACTAGTTTGAAATCCTATTCCAAGCTTTTTGTAAGGGCTTTGCTTAGTCACCTCTTAGTTTGAAGTCTGTCTTTACCAAAATACTAAACATCTTCAGCGGGATGTTTTAACAAAAAGAAGTTAACATTGATTCTAAAATTATAGAATACTGCAGGAGTAATATTTATCATTGACAAGTATGATTCTTAAAATCTTTCTGAAGTTTCCTTAAAGATTTCTTGACTTTCATAGAGATATGGTGACTAACGATTAGCCCATCAGAGGAAGAGAATAAAGATGTTAGCATGCTGTTTAGACAGTACACAGTACACAATACCATAGTAATGGAGTACAGGAAAAATGTGTTTCCCAATTTCATGTTATCTGAGAATTGGACTTTTAGATCACAGCAACTCTGTCATAAAATATGCCCAAATTTATATAGATAGAGCTTAGAAAAATAATGTTAGTATATTTTCTTGTATAATGGAAAAAATCAAGCTATGTTCTTACTTTGACATGACATTTTAAATTTATTTTAGTAGTGGGGTTTTAATATTGTTGAATAGGGAAAAAATATATATAGTACAATATTTAAATACTACAGGTGGTTAGACGGTGAAAAGTAGCAACCAATGTTATCAATTTCTTGTGTATCCCTCCAGGGTTACCCTGCATATACAAACATATATACATTTATTCTTTTTAAACATATAAATAGAAACATGTATACTTTCCCATATCTAATAGCATCAATTTTAGATCTGACATTTAAGGTGTATTTTCTTTTTACTTAAATATCATACTTAATCTAGTTAACATACCATTTAATTCAACTATATTACACCAAGGGAATGTCAAAGAAATTTTGAATGAGTCCCATTGGTATTTACTTAAAATAAAAGTTTTGTATATGTTAATTTTTAAAATGTATAACTGTTTAATTGATCCTACTGATTTCCCTTCACTGTTCTTCCTAATCATTTTACCTTTCCATATTCCTTCTGTCTTGAAGTAAGAAAGTTTAAGAGTAATAGCATATTAAATAATTTAACCAAGTGTTACTTTAGATTAACTATGTTCTCTAATGGAAAACATCCATATTCAAAAGCTTTAACAAACTATAACTTGACTTTTATGAATTCTATTACTATTTCTATCCAAAGACTTTGTCAGTATAAGAACAAAAGAATATTAGGACTATAGTAAAAGATTATATTATGACTTTGTTGAAGTGTTTTGATTTATTACACAAAGCTTTTTTCTTTATGATATGAAGAATATATGGTTTATTTAACAACTTCATCAAATCCAAGTCTACACAAAGAGATAACACTGACCCTAATTGTTAAATGCATTGATTTTTTTATTGAAGGACCCAGAGTCTGTCAGACATTCTTAGGATCAAAAGATACTATGATGACTTTGGGAAAGATTAAAATTGGGAGGCTAAGAGGTTCCAAGTACCACTAAACCTTTTCCATTCTCTGCTGGATGAATATAAAATAGTAAATATGATTGTTTTAAAATGAAGTTAGTATTATTGCTATTTCTGAAAACATATGCAAAAATAATTCCCCCGACTCCCACAAAAAATCATAATTCTCTTTTCATTCTCATCAAATGTACATTGTAAGATCACTTTTCTGATGACTACCAAAAAAAATTATTATCTGAAAGTTTAAGATCCCATACTTAAACTCTTCAGTCTTATAAGTTTAAGCAAGGACAGCAAAAGATGCAATGAAGTTAAAAATATGTTTAAAACCATGTAGATGAGGAAGAATTTTTTTAATGGATTGGTATCTATACATTTTATGAAAATGTTATAAGATGTAACATTTTAAAACATTGTTTTAAACTTTATAAGAATATCAATTACATATTTTTTTTGTTTGTAAACTGAGAGGGGTGCTAGAAGACAGTGTCCTCTTAAACATATTTTAAAAGCATAAAGGAGTTTCTTTTATTTTAGCGATGGATAACTCATTATCCTTTACAGAATCTATAAAATTTATAAATATCTTCAAGTATTTACTTGTTTATGTTTAAAATGGTGTATACATGTTTCTCCTTATTTAAAGGGAGAAGTCGAAAGGAAAGTAAATTCACTGTCAAGAATCAATTTTACTTGAACTTATGCTAAAAATATTAAGTGTCCCATCTTTAATCAAAGAGTTTCCCATGCTGGTGCTTTCTGATAAATTGTTTTTCCAACTTTGCCTCAAGTACCCCTTGTGAAAATTCTTAAATTGAGGCCAGTAACATCCACCTGTAAATTGAAGCATAGTGCTGCTGGTATGGTTACTTGGTTATATGAATATAAAGAAAATAACTCATTTAAATGGAATACATTGTTAGCTTCTTTCTAAAACTGAATAGTAGTTGTCTGTCTTCTCATTTTACACTTCTATAGTTTCTTTAAGAATTGTAGTATTCAAAGTTTTCTTTGTCCTAGGTAATATTAGAATGTTAAAAAGAAGAAAGTAACCCCTAAGAAAAATGTGATAGTATTTAAACTTAAAGTTGCTCAGATTGTAAGACTGGGGGGAAGGCTTCTGTGGGTTTTTTTTTTTTTTTGGTGTGTGTCTTTATCAAACTAATGATATAAGTCTGATTTTTTTATCTGATTAAAGTCAAATTTTCTTTTACAAGAAATTGCTCTATTCAGAAATTGTATTTTATTTTTCTTAGAGAAAATGGTTCTATAGAAATATTCTTCTGCAGGGTTTTATTTATTTATTATGGATAATATAAGGTTGTTGTGTGAAATAGCAAATAGAAAAAAGAATTAGAAGAGAAAGTAATTGTTGACTATTTTGCTCATCTATAACAAAAGAAGTGAATATAACAGAAATGAACAAAATAAGTCCTTTTCAAAATAAAACATCTATTTTTTTCACATTTAAAAAAGCATTTGAGAAATATAGGTATAAGACCTAATTCTGCCAATATATGGCCTAACCCTGAATGAGTCATTTAATTTCCATGGTGGTTTCCTCATACGGAAAAGAAAAAGCATTGAGCTAGAAGCTAAGGTTCAGTCCTACTCTAAACTTTAAAAATTCTGAATCAGTGGAGTGTGAAAGAAAAAACAAATTAAAAAAACAAAATTGGAAAGTGTAAGAGATTTTCTTTATATTAAATGTAACTATAATGAAGCAGAAACCTATGATGATAACCAAAGGAATAATGCAGCAATGTCAGTTCTATAACATGTGTATTGCTTTAGCCAAACAAAAAAAAATTTGTCCCTAGTCCTTATTAAGATAAAGCTGCTGTATACTACATAACTGTCTTTAATTTCTTTAAAGAAATTTGTTTTGTTTTGTTTCTTGGTACCAGGGATCAAACTCAGGTCCTTGTGCTTGCACACCAGGCAGCGAAACTACTGAGCTAAATCCCCGGCCCTAAAGAAAAATTTTTATCTATACAAAGCCTCATTCTTTGGAAGGAGCATTGTGTGAATCATTTCATATTCTGCATAGCAAAGGAATATTAAAACTAACATCTCTTCCTGAGATGCTAGTTGTTCCTTCAATAACCATAAATTGCATTGCTAAATAATACACTGTAACTGTCATTGCAGTGACCCCTGAGAATCAAGTACTGCCTTTGATCCTTTTTATCTTGATTATATTTAATAAAAACAATGATTTTTAACAAAGAACATTAGGAAAGACACTGATCTGTGAGCAGTATGGTTCTGTCCTAGAGTGACTGTACCTACTAGGATGTGCAAAGATGAAACATCCTAACAGTCTGTTGTTTTAGCCTTGAGAAACTGCAGAAGTTGTTGATGATTGGAGAAAAGAGGAAGCACACAGGCTTTTGTCCTGAGGCATTTATTTAGGCACCCCATTCCTCCACTGTGCAGAGCTACCACCACTGCCAGAGGAGAGAATCGAAAGAGTGACACCTCTCTAAAACTTTCGTTTGGTTCCTATTTGTTTGACAGAGACAGTGCTTAAGTGCAACCTAACTGCATTTTGATCATTCCAAAACTTATCTCTGCACATAAAATTCCATTAATGAAACATTCCCTATGATAAACAATCTTTGGCTTAGTAGTGGTTCACAGTGGCAATTTGGTTGACCTCAACAAATTCTATAGAGTGAATTGGTTGTTGTAGAAAATATTTTCTATTTTTTCCTTCCTCTCCTCAAAATAGTAGATACATTTTAGGTTCTTGGTTGTTTTATTTTTTAGTGCTATGTGAAATCTCAGTGAGATATGAGAAAGTACTTTAATTTGGCAGTTCTTTCCTTTTGCCATTTTATGGAAATTTTCTTCAGCTTCCCATCAAACATTCCAGGCAACTTTACCAAAAGAATGCAAAATACAAAATGCAAATACCTAAATGTAAAAACCACCCAGCAAATTGAGACTACAGAGCCATAAGATAATTGTTTAGGAATAAAGATAAGATTTTGTACAAATACCTGGACTCAATACACTCCTTATCATTCACTAGTTTATTTCAGAAACTGCTGAATTTTATTTCTAGGTTCTTCAGACTAGCAGTGTGATTTATACCAAATGAAGTGACAGTTTAGAATACCAGTTGAACAAAATCTGTTGCTTATTAATTTACTCCAAAAACTGTATGCAATGCTATAAGCTAGATGTAAATTTAGAATTCTAAACTTTCATCAATCATAATCTCTTTTCCGTTCCAACACACTGTATCCCTATGGAAGTGGGTTAATTTATCCCACTGCCACTATGGCCCCACTTCATCTTATTTCTCAGGACTGAAAGGTCTGTTATCTGTTATTCTTTTTTTTTTAAACAGGGTCTCATTATGTAGTTCATGGTTGCCTTGAACGCACTGTGTAGCCCAAGGTGGCCTTGAACTCACTGTGATCCTCCTTCCTCAGCCTCCCAAGTGCTGGTTCTACAGGTGCATGCCACTAAGTCCAGCCAGAGGTCTGTTATTCTAACTTTTCAATACACAGTGACTCTTCAGAAAACATTTCTGACTTGTAAAATTGACAGATAGTTTCAGAAATAAATTTGACAGTAGAAAAGTTGCAC